TAGAAGATAATAAATTGATAAGTAACAGTCAGTATGGATTTATTAAAAAAAAATCATGTCAAACCAACCTGATAGCTTCCTTTGACAGGATAATGCAACTTGTGGATAAGGGGGATGCAGTAGATGTTGTGTATCAATACCAATGGTTTGCAAACTTTTTGGCCCATGGACCGTCCCCAAACCTTTCTGTGGACCACCAGCTGGTAATGGAAACTCGCCGTTAATTATATAATTACACCTGAGCCATTTTGCTAGTGCTGTAGCTAGGGAAAACGGTTTAATTTAACCAGTAAGAAAGGAAATATTTACTGAAAGTTAAGCACTTTAACTTTCTCATATTAGTTTACCAAATTTAATTTTAAATAAAGTAAAATATGAATTTATGTTCAACACAAAAGGTTTCAACATTGTCTTTATGGCAGGAGTGGGGAACCTTTTTTGGGTCGGAAGCAACTAACTCACAGAACAATCAGTTGGGAATTAAGCAACAAAAAAAACCCCAAAAATCCCCAACCCTCACTGATGTGGCCCCCAACTGAGACACCTCACTCCCCTGGTACTACAGCCCCCAGGGCTATGTCTACACTGTGTGATCTTGCGCCAGAGCTATGCAAATGAGGCTAAGCATGGAATATCACCGAGCCTCATTTGCATATATAATGAGCCACCATTTTTGCAGAAGAGGCTCTTGCGCAAGAAGGAGCTGTCTACACTGCCCCTTCTTGCACAAGAAAAACCCTCTTGCACAATGCTGTTATTCCTGAAAATAATCAGCGTGGTGGCATTGTGCAAGAGGGTTTTTCTTGTGCAAGAAGGGGCAGTGTAGACAGCTCCTTCTTGCGCAAGAGCCTCTTCTGCAAAAATGGTGGCTCATTATATATGCAAATGAGGCTCGGTGATATTCCATGCTTAGCCTCATTTGCATAGCTCTGGCGCAAGATCACACAGTGTAGACATAGCCCTGGGGGCTGTAGTACCAGGGGAGTGAGGTGTCTCAGTTGGGGGCCACATCAGTGAGGGTTGGGGATTTTTGGGGTTTTTTTTGTTGCTTAATTCCCAACTGATTGTTCTGTGAGTTAGTTGCTTCCGACCCAAAAAAGGTTCCGGAGGGGGACAGGGAGGACTGAGGTTCAAGGCTTCCCAGAGGCCAGATTAACTCTTCTGGAGTTCCAGGGTTAGTGGATTTTATGGACCCCCTGGGTCTTGGGGGGCAACATGAGTTCAGTGAGCAGGACAGAGCTGCCAATGAGTGGGATGAGGGTGCGGGATCTGGGCAGAAAGTGAGGTGCAGGAGGGGGTGAGGGTGCAAGGTCTGGGTGGTAGGTAGGGTACAGGAGTAGGGTGTCTGGCCAGGGGGAAGGAGCAGGAGCAGGCTGGAGGTAGGTCTCTGACCAGGAGAGAGAGTGCAGGAGCAGAGTGGGGATAGGGTGTCTAACCCCGGGGGAGGATGCAGGAGCAGAGTGGGAGTGCAGGATCTCAGACAAGGGATTGTACCGGGTTGCCTCACCTCGGGTCTCTCCCTGAACCAGCACCCCAGGGCTCCAGGCCCTACTCTGCAGACCCCGAGGCTGAATCACTGTCCCGCAGGCCTAGTCGCAGTTCCACGGGCCCTGAGGCCAAATCACTGTCTTGCAGGCCCAGCAGCCTAATCACAGTTCTGTAGCAAGGGATTGGGTAGGGGAGCCCAGACTCTCCCTCTCCTCCGAGCCCCAGCCCAGGGCCCTATCAGTGGTGGGTCTTGCAGGCTTAATGGCTTAAATGACTGCTTCTTGGAGCAACTAGTGCAGGAACCCACAAGGGGAGAGGCAATTCTCGATTTAGTCCTGAGTGGAGTGCAGGATCAGGTCCAGGATATAACCGTTACAGGACCGCTTGGGAATAGTGACCATAATATAATAACATTCAACATTCCTGTGGTGGGAAGAACACCTCAGCAGTCCAGCACCCTGGCATTTAATTTCAAAAAGGGGAATTACACAAAAATGAGGAAGTTAGTTAAACAGAAATTAAAAGGCACAGTGACTAGAGCCAAATCCCTGCAAGCTGCATGGAAACTTTTTAAAGACACCATAATAGAGGCCCAACTTAAATGTATACCCCAAATTAAAAAACATAGCAAGAGACCTAAAAAAGAGTCACCGTGGCTTAACCACCATGTAAAAGAAGCAGTGAGGGACAAAAAGGTATCTTTTAAGAAGTGGAAGTCCAATCCTAGTGAGATAAATAGAAAGGAACAGAAACACTGTCAAATCAAGTGTAAACATGTAATAAGAAAAGCAAAAAAAGATTTTGAGGAACAGCTAGCCAAAAACTCAAAAAGAAATAAAATGTTTTTTAAGTACATTAGAAGCAGGAAGCCTGCTAAAAAGCCTGAGGGTCCCCTAGATGATCGAGCTATAAAAGGAGCAATCAAGGACAATAAAGCCATTGCGGAGAAACTAAATGATTTCTATGCTTCAGTCTTCACGGCTGAGGATGTTGGGGAGATTCCTGAATCTGCACCGTCCTTTGTGGGTGATGAATCTGAGGAACTGTCCCGGATTGAAGTATCATTAGAGGAGGTTTTGGAACAAATAGAAAAACTTAATGTTAACAAATCTCCGGGACCGGATGGCATTCATCCAAGGGTTCTAAAAGAACTCAAATGGAAAATTGCTGAGCTATTATCTGTGGTTTGTAACCTATCCTTTAAATCAGCTTCCGTACCTAATGACTGGAAGGTAGCCAACGTGACACCAATATTTAAAAAGGGCTCTAGAGGCGATCCTGGCAATTACAGACCGGTAAGTCTAACTTCAGTACCGGGCAAATTAGTCGAAACAATAGTAAAGAATAAAATTGTGAATCATGTAGAAGATCATAATTTGTTGGACAAAAGTCAACATGGTTTCTGTAAAGGGAAATCCTGTCTTACTAATCTATTAGAGTTCTTTGAAGGGGTTAACAAACATGCGGACAAGGGGGATCCAGTAGATATAGTATATTTGGATTTTCAGAAAGCCTTTGACAAGGTCCCTCACCAAAGGCTCTTGTGTAAATTACATGGCCATGGGTTAAGAGGGAAGGTCCTTTCTTGGATTGAGAACTGGTTAAAAGACAGGAAACAAAGGGTAGGAATGAATGGTAAATTTTCAGATTGGAGAGGGGTAACTAGTGGTGTACCCCAAGGGTCAGTCCTGGGACCAATCCTTTTCAACTTATTCATAAATGATCTGGAAAAAGGGGTAAGCAGTGAGGTAGTAAAGTTTGCAGATGATACCAAACTATTTAGGATAGTCAAGACAGAAGCAGACTGTGAGGGACTCCAAGAAGATCTCACCAAACCGAGTGATTGGGCAACAAAATGGCAAATGAAATTTAATGTGGATAAGTGTAAAGTAATGTACATCGGGAAAAATAACCCCAACTATATGTACAGTATGATGGGGGCTAATTTGGCTACGACAAATCAGGAAAGAGAGTCTGGAGTTATCGTGGACAGTTCTCTGAAAACTTCCACACAGTGTGCAGCGGTGGTCGATGAACATCTCAACACCACTAGGTGCTTTCAGATTGGATACAGTGTGTCCGAAGATGACTTATCAGGCCAATTCGGGCAGCAAATGTCCTGGAACATGTCGGACAGACAGGTGTAGGCATTGCAATCGTTGTGCTGGTAGCTTTGGACTTGCGCAGCACGCGCTTGTGTTGTGCTTCAGAGATGCGCCTTGTTTCGACAGCTTGGCATCCCTTGTGGATGAGACTGCGCCAGGCAGGGCGGTTGTGTGCCAGCGATTCCCAGGTGGTTGTATCAATTCCGAACAAATGAATGTTACCGGACCTCCAAAAGCTCGTGAATGGTTTTACTGGTCCCTGTGCCAAAAAGTTTAGGAACCCCTGGCATAAAGAGTATACTTCCAAGTTTGCAGATGATATCAGGCTAGGATGGGTTACTAGTAAGGATGTTAAGGACTCGTCGAGTTAACTAGCTGATTCACCCCCTTGCTGCCTCTGTCAGATAGAGGCAGCAAAGGCAGGGGGAAGAGAGGGTACTTCAAAGTGGCAGCGCTGTGTGGAGCCCTGGGTCACCTGGGGACTCCCTAGCTGGCTCCATGCGGCATTACTATGGAACCCGGAGTCAGCTGGGGGCTCCCCAGCTGTTCCCAGGCTCCAGCACCATATTTCAAAGCACTCAGAGCCTGGGGTTCTGTGGACATGCCACTCAGAGCCTGGGATCAGCTGGGGAGTTCCCAATTGACTCCAGGTTCTGCAGAGTCCCGTCCTCCCCAGAAAGCCAGGAGAGGTTGAGGAAAGATTTCTTTCGGAATGTGGTCCCCATTGATCATGGCTTGTAACTGTTTAATTATAACCCTTGTGTTCCAGTGTTGGGTAGTAGGTGACAACTACAGATGTGCAGTTGGAGGGGGTTTCTTCCTGTACCAAAGCAAGTAAGACATATGCCCTGGTCTTTATGTGCTTTTTATTGTGCCTTAACTATTGTTGTAGGTAGGGTGAAGCCTGGGTAGCAACCCATGCTCCAGTCCATAATTAGGTGCAATTGAAATATAAGTGTATAGCTTGTTTATCAGAGTGTTTAAACTATTTGGGATCCTTGGGAATACATAAGTGGCGAGGAGTCCGGTGGCACCTTATAGACTAACCAAAGTGTTGGAGCATAAGACTTTGGTTAGTCTATAAGGTGCCACCGGACTCCTCGCCGCTCTTGCAAATTCAGACTAACACGGCTCCCATTGATATTGGGAATACATGGAACATAAAGATAGGAGATCCTTTGTTCCCCTTTGAAGAGATAGCGTACGTGCAGGAGCTGTTGTGGAAAGGAGGATGCGGAATGGCAGTGGCATGGACTCTGGAGGTCAGTGGGTAGAAGAGGGCACTTGGCGATCAGGGCTCCCGGCTCCCTAGTCCCCGCTCAGGATGGCGGTAGGGCTGAGCGGTTGGAGAGCCGTGCTTGGGCGGGACTCCCTCAGCGTGCGTGGGGGAGGCGGAACCAAGTCTCCCCGAGCCGGGCGGGGTCTGGGGTCGCTGGGCCCAGCCCCCCTCTCTCTGCAGCGGCTGCTGCCTGCCGGGGTGGGGCGCCGTGTCCCGCTCTGCTGTCGCGCCTCAGCCCAGCGAACCGCCAAGCAGGTTACCCCGCGCCAGCAGCCGCGGCGCCGCTCGCTCTCCTCCTCCTCCGGCGGAGCCGTGGGCGCGATGCGGCCGCTGCTGTGGCTGGGCCTGGTGCTCGGGGGGGTGCTGGGCGCGGCGTGCGGGGAGCCCGGCGACCAGCACTACGTGGACGGCGAGCACCGGGCCGACTACGACCGGGAGGCGCTGCTGGGAGGCCAGGTGAGCGGCCCGGGGCCACCGCACACTCGCTCTGGTACCGGGGGAGTTCCCTGCCCTTCGTGGCGCGTAGGGCGATGAGCCTGGGCGGGGAAGACACCCCGAGCTGCAGCGCGTCTCCCAGCGGCACAGGCTGTGGACGCTGCCGAGGAACGAGTCCCCCTCCCGCCTTTAAACGAGGTCTGGTTGCTGTGTGACTTGTGTTTGGGTGGGAGGGGAGAGGTTTTGAATCTGCCCCTCCCTCCGCTCAGCAGCGGCAGGGCCGGGCCGGCTTTGTGTCAGTTTGCTCCGTTTGTTTTCCTCCTTCCAAAGGACGAAGCAGAGGAGTATGCCAAACTCAGCCCCGAGGAACAGCAGAAGAGACTGAAGGCCATCATAAAGAAAATTGACTTGGACTCGGATGGATTCCTTACTGATGGTATTGACTGCACATACACCCGGTGTCCTGGGCGGGGGACACTGGCATAGTGGGGAGGGGTTAAAAATAATGCAACTCGATACTTAAAATCTTGAGCTGCGGACAGCCGAACAAATGCAGCCAAGTAGTTGTGTCTTTGTCTGCTGAAAGACTCTTGTGTGACTGTTGCTGCTTATAGCTTTGTGAAGCCATTGTAGAGAGATAGGGTGTGTCTAGACTACAGAGTTTTGTCGACAAAAGTGGACTTTTGTTGACAAAACTATACCTGCGTCTACACTACCGCTGAGTTCTGTCGACATAACGTCGACAGAACTCAGCAGTTTTGTCGACGCTGGTAAACCTCATTTTACGAGGCATAACGCCTTCTGTCGACAGAGTTCTGTCGACAGAAGGTGTTGTTGCATGTAGGGTTGTATCTAGACTACAGGGTTTTGTCGACAAAGCAGCTTGCTTTGTTGACAGAACTGGATGTAGTCTAGACGCTCTTTGTCGACAGAAGCTTTGTCGACAGTATCTGTCGACAAAACTTCTGTCGACAAAACCCTGTAGTCTAGATGTACCCATAGTGACAAGTGATTGGTCAAATTCACTGCTCCTTTCCTATGGCTAAGCATTAAAGTTGATGGGTTGATTTTGCTCTGCTACTTACAAAAGCTAAAGAAGAGGGTGGTGGAGTTGTTAACATGAGAGAATGGCTCCATGTGTGGAGATGGAGGGACAGGTAGCTGAGATTCTGTCACATCAGAGCATTTTGATAGTGCGTTCACTTTCCTTTGCAGCAGTCAGAAGGGAGAAGCTGTTCATAATCAAACATACTACCTAGAGCAGGGGTGGGCAAAATCCGGCTCAGGAGCTGCATTCGGCCCGCAAAGCCTTTCCCTTGTCACTGTTTCTTTAGAGGTATGCGAGCTAACATTTTTAAAGGTGTCTGTCAGTTAGAACTAATAAGTTGGAGTCTAGGGCTCGAAGGAGATTTGGTATGGTTAACATTGGTGCTTTGACATTAGTGCTTAACTTTTCTGATCAATGGCAATAGGCTTTGTGTATACCGATGTCAGTGTTCTGTGTCAAATGCTAGAAAATAAAGCCGCCTATAACTGGAGTTAGCCTGCATGTGTTTCTCACCCATGACCCAACAATGAGGATTTAAATGTTTGGTGGGCAATGCTGTTTTCACGCACTGTGTAAGACTTGGCATCTATGCATACTGAAAAGTTAATACCTTTTTTTTAAAAAGTGACTTTATCTGATTCCTGAAGTAATAGAAATTCTGCATTCACAACCTAATAAACAATTCTGTTGGTGCTATACAAGCCAAAAGAGACTTGATCTTATTCTCCTACTGGTTAACCAATTAAATGGAGGAGGCGGGAGCCGGTGCTTGCAGGGAGCTGTCTTTTTAGTAGTGGGAGGCAGCACATGGGTGGGAGAGGAGGTGGCTCCATGGGAACCAGCACACCTGGGGAGTTGGCTTAAAAGCCAGTTCCCTGCACATACTGGCTCCTGTCTTCCTCCACTTCCCAGTATTGCTGTATCAGAGACAGCAGTACGGGGGGCAGGCAGTTCTGTGGGAGCAGGGTCTCATGGGGAGCTCCCTGTGAGCACTGTTTCCCACTTTTCCTCCATGCTGCTGCCTCCTAGTGCAGGGCGGGGGTGGGGAGAGATGGTTCCATGGGAGCCGGCATGCATGGGGAACCAGCTTAAAAGTCAGCTCCCTAGGTGTACCGGCTCCCCGCCCCCACGCTGCTGTCTTTGATACAGAGGCAGTGTGCAAGGGGATGGGCTGGGTGCATGTAACCGTGACCTGTCTGTTGATGGTGGCTCATCGGTTAACCATGTACACATTCACATCCCTAGGTTTTACATCCCTAGAAGACATTATGACGTTAATCATTTCTTCATTGATACCAGCAGTACCATGAAAGTGCTACTACTTTTATAATAGGATTTTAGTGCTGGTTTGTTCTCTCTCAGCTGGCTTGGACAACAGGAATATGCTACAACTAAAGCCCCAGTTACTTGATATATGTAATTATTTTAAAAAGTGAAAGTTTCCCCACTGTTTGAATGTGAAGAGGCCTTTGGTGTTGGTTATACCATTTAGGAATGCAGAAAATGTAATGTTTATTGTAATAAACTTTTTTAAATTAGAAAATCAAAAATAAGGATTTTATTGCATTATGTGGAATTTCCACAGATGAACTAAGTTCATGGATCCAGAAATCTTTTAAGCATTATGTTACACAAGAGGCTAAACAACAGTTTGGTGAATATGATAAAGATGGTGATGGATTAGTATCTTGGGAGGAGTACAACATTCAAATGTATGATCGGCTAATTGACTTTGATGAGAATACTGTCCTGGCGGATCAAGAAGAAGAATCATTTCGACAGGTAAGATACTCAAGCATCATCTTTCACAAACCATTTGCAAGTGGTAGTGGTGTTGGATTCTTCAGTCATTTTATTCTATTATGTTTTTACCAGCAGGCTTATCCAGATTTGCCCGGGTCCATCGGGCAGGAGGCTTGTGGTGTGTGTGGGTGCGAGAATCAGCGCAGAGTCTTGGGGATCTGGGGGCAGGAGGGTGCAAGGTTGAGGGTTGAGAGGTGAGGAAGAGACTCAGGGAAGAGGTCCCATCTGGCATGGGCCTTTTCTCTCTTCCCAGCCCCCTCTACCCCAGGTGGTGGTGGGGGCTTTTCTCTCTCTTCCACCAAGCACTGTGGCCAATGGCTGGGAAGGTGGGGGGAGGGTTTGGAGTAGGAGGACTACTTATCCAGTGTGCTTGCAGGCAAGATGGCAGAGCCCCAGCTCTGGTGACCACTTGGTGGTACAGCTGCCCCTAGTGGACACTCTGTAGCATAGTTCTCCCTTGCGGGCTCGCTGTCTCCAGTGACCGCTCTTAGTATCATGTCCTTCTGAACAACTCCTCCCTTTCCATGTTATGGAAAACAATCCCTTTCTTGTGGCTTCCGGCTATCCTGATGCAACCAAACCTTGACCTTGCTTTAAATTAGGAGCAGAGGAAGCTGTGTACCAAAATTGGTGGTCCTAGCACTTACCATTTTAGGAGTTCTTGAAGAAACAGACTCACAGACAGATACATACTTCTAAAATATATAATAATGATATCTCAAGATCATCTTATCTAAAGAAGTGGGTTTTGCCCATGAACACTAATAACAATATATATTTGTTAGTCTCTAAGGTGCCACAGGACTACTCATTTTAAAAGTTACAGATTAACACAGATACCCCCCTGAGACTAATATAAATATATAGATAGCTAGATAAAGAGAGAGATTGATTCTTGTTAGCTCTGACTGTGTTTACTTAACATTTTTGCTTTCTGGAGTAGCTGAGTAGTTAACAGTTGATTAAAATATTGAAGTTCCTACCAACAAAATGACAGAACAAGCCACATTGAGAGTTGAGTGGAGTACACCTATATTGATAATGGAATCCATAGAATGCACACTTCATTTGGTCCCTCTCTCAACCATGTAGGATGGAAATATGTAGGATTACACCAGTGACCCATATGGTCGCTATCCTCTGTCTGATGGTGGCCAGTACCAGCTGCTTCAGAGGAACATACAAGCTATCCTTTAGGCTATGTCTAGACTACATCCCTCTTTCGAAAGAGGGATGTAAATTAGACAGATCGAAATTGCAAATGAAGCTGGGATTTGAATTTCCTGCACTTCATTTGCATAATGGTGACCACGCCTTCTTTCGAAAAACGATATTTCAAAAGTTAAACCCCTGCCTATACGTGGTGCTTTTAAAAAAAAAAACAACCCTTTTTCAAAAGATCCTGTAAACATTTTTTGAGGAGTACAGGATCTTTCAAAAAAGGGGGTGTTTTTTTCGAAAGCACCGTGTCTAGATGTCAGTTTCACTTTTGAAATACCCTTTTTCGAAAGAATGCACGGCCACCATTATGCAAATGAAGCCCAGGAAATTCAAATCCCGGCTTCATTTGCAGTTTTGATCTGTTAATTTACATCCTTCTTTCAAAAGAGGTATGTAGTTTAGACATGCCCACAGTAAGCAATTATGCAATAAACCTGTTCATAGGACAAATTTCTTCCTCGTCCCCATTAAATTAAAGTTTAGGGCATAAAACAGATTATGAGTTCACATCCTTTTCTGAATTCTGCTGTTGTGAGAATACTAATCACTTCATTATATCTCCTTTTTCAGTGTGCTAAGGGGAAAAAATAAAAAAATATTATCAGAGGAAACCTTGTCCATGGCCCAGATATTATGACGGTGGGTGCTATAAATATGAATAATCCAGTTTATAAAGTATCAGAGGGGTAGCCGTGTTAGTCTGAATCTGCAAAAGCGACGAGGAGTCCTGTGGCACCTTATAGACTAACTGGAGTGTAGGAGCATAAGCTTTCATGGGCAAAGACCCACTTCGTCAGATGCATGTCAGTCTTTCATGTATTTCTCCTCTATATTATTCCCATTTTACAGACAGAACACTCTGGGCACGTCTACACTGCACTTAAACACCCATAGCTCACTGGCGTCAGCTGGCTCAGGCGTATGGGGCTACTAAACTGCAGTGGAGATGTCCAGGCTCTAGGACTCCAAGAAGTGAGAGAATCCCTCAGCTCTGGGCTGAATGACAACACCCGGGCCAGCTGTAGTCTGTACACCTCGTTCCACGAAGCATTCAAATCCTGGGCTTCATTTGCAAGTGCGGTATGCCTACATTACCACCCTAGTTCGAACTAGGGTGGTAGTATAGACATACCCTCAGGTGCCACAGGACTCCTCGTCGCTTTTCCAGTTTATAAAATTATAGCTATATGTTTCATTTTTTATCCTGTAAACTTTTTAAAAAGATAATGGCAATAGGATAAATATCACATGAAAAATGCTATGCTATGTGTTTCTTTTACTTTGACAGTTCTATAGCTGTTTGTCAAAGTTGCTGACCTTATCCTGAAGCAAGATTCTTTAATGATAATTTTAATACTGTTCTATCAAAATGACTAAATCTGTTGCATTTTTAATTGACTTAACAGAGAATTGCTCATTATTTCTTCAGTCTAGTAAAGTACTTAAAACTTGTTTAAAGTATTTTCCTGAATCAGGCTTATACCACCTATTGCATTGCTAAATTCTGACAGAGGGTAGATCTGTAGCATCCTTCAACCAGTTCATTTAATCATAAAACTGCTGTAAACAGTGTTGGGAATCCTAGTACAGAATGGCTGCTGACACTGTTTATTGTAATCTGATAATTGGTCTTGCTCCCTGAAAGGTTAGATAACATGGCGCTGAAAAGTAGCAGTGGCTAAAACCTGGTGTACACTACACTTTATACTGTGGCTGGGAAATCTAAAAATTCCCTTGTGTGCGTAATCCTTTAGACAACAAGACCTTTCCAGGCCACATCTTTTATCCATTTCTCTCTACATTTGCTCATCCAAACCTAGCCTGTGAATCTTTCCTGTCTCATTCTCCACATTCAGTTTATGTTTTTGCTGCATCAGTTTCCTGGAAAAATATCTACTCCTTGCTCTGTCTTTCATGGCTTCCCACTTCCTTATAAATACAGCTCAAAATCTACTTCTACAACGAATACATTTCAATTGGTCCCCCAAAGTTTTTTGATCACTATTTAGTTCCTTTACAATGCTCATTATGTACTTAATCCCTCTGTTCTTTATTTGTAATGCAGTAATACTTAGAGGCCAACTGAGAATGTGCAAATAGAATAAGACAAATGGTTTGGGAAAGAGACATAACTTAGGAACAGAGTGATGGTTTGCAAATGTCATGTTATTACATTCTATTTTGTGTGTATTAATTTTTTTTACAAGTAAGGTTTTAGTTAGAAGATGATTGGCTAAATTAGAGGTTGGCAAAAGGCTGCCAGCGGAAGCCACCTTGTCGGAGCTCTTAGGCAGAGAACAGCCTGCACTTTAAAAAGTCAGCTGTTCTCCATTCCAGTTGGCTGGGGAGAGAGGAGGGAGACTTCTCATGCTGTTCCCGCTCCCCCTTCCCCTCCCCCCAACCAAAATCTCATAGCTTCCATTGGCCAGTCTCTCCATTTCCAGCCCATATGAGTGGATAATTTTTGCTGGGAGCAGGGGCAGTATAGGAAGCCGCCTCCCTTCCTCCTTGACCCCCTCCTCCTCCCTCTCCCGCTCTGAGCAGAGCCACGTGGAACAGCCTGCAGTAGGCAGTCTGCCTCAGGATTCTGCTGGTAAGCACCTCCCAGCGAGAGCCTGCCTCTGGCTCCCCAGCCCCTTCCTTCTCCACCCTTCAGCCCTCCCTCCACATACCTACACCTTCTGCCTCCTCCTGCCCCCATGCCCCTTCCCAGATCTGGCACCCCAGTCTCCTGCCTCAGATCACAATCCCCTCCTACCCTAGGTCACATCCCAGAATCCTGCATCCTAGTCCCCTGCCCTAGGTCACAACGGTCTCCTTCACCCAAACTCCCTCTCAGACTCCATTCTCCTTCCTGCACCCCAGTCCCTTACCCCAAGCTCCTGTCTGCAACCAACCTCCATCCCAGACCCCGGAATTACTCCATTAATATCCTGGAAGAGTGCAGCCCTTGACCACTTGCCAAAATTTTGGAGTGCCCCCCCCCATCAAAAAAATTTGCCCACCATGGGTTAGATGGAAAAACAAAGGATGGGGACAGATGGCAGGGAAAGGTGTAGAGGGAAGTGAAGGTGAAAGATTAGGAGGAGGGAACAAGAGTTGATTGCTTTAATAGCCAATAATCATCAGGGAGGAATTGTCCAGAGTCAGAAAGTAGTTCTCTGATCAGTGTCTCACATCATGTTGGAATTACTTCTGTATTTGTTGTCCTCTGAATCTGAGGGTGACTCCACCCAAGAGTTTTTCTCTTTTCCCCAAACTGCCAGGACAGAAGAAAAGTGCAAGGTCATGTGGTGCTTGATGCTTAAGAAGGAGTGGTTCTGGTTTCAGGCTGTCTTATGAGGAAAAGAATTAGCCCTATCAAAGCAAAATGTTGCTTTGGTTGCCACAACTGCTTTTCTTAAGTCTAATCATGTGAAGATGCTTCCATAGTCTGTAGGGCCATACATTGTGAAATAATTATAAGGTTGACACTTTCATATAGTTTAGTTCTTGTATCAGACCTTCATGAAAAATCAGATTCCTAGCTTACTGTCAGGTGTACCAACTGAAGGTATGATCTTGTCATTTTCTCCTAAACTGAAAGTTGGATGAGACATCTCCTCAGATAACCTTCAGTGTTAGAAGGAACTGGGTGTGTATAGGTACAGTAAACTTCCGATAATCCGGCACCTTTAGGACCCAGGGGGTGCCGGATTATCAGATATGCTGGAGTACCGGAAGCGGGGCTATGAGGAGTTTTGCGCGGGGTGGGAGGGGTCGACGAACTGCACAGCGTGGGAGTGGGCAGCGCTGCAGGACCAACCCAGCAGAACCCCAGCTTCTCTGCCCCCCGCTTGGCCCAGGCAACCACTGGCCAACTTCAGCAGCGGCTGGATTTGGGGAGCCGGGTTGGTGCCGGACTATCAGGAGTGCCGGACTACTGGATGCCGGACAATTGGAGTTTAGCTGTATTGTCTTTGTGGCTCGCATTACTTGAGGTAATTTAAAAATCCTTTGGTAGTATTCCAGAGGTTGTTAGCTCCAGTGTTGCAACAAATTCCAACTCCTTTCTATCTGATATTTTCTTACCTAAATTCAACCACCTCTGAAGTAAAAAACTGAGTGCAAATTCGTTAATGTTGGAAATACTATGCTGTTTAGGAAAAGGATTAAGGAACAAGTCCTCCCATTACTTGAGGTAATTTAAAAATCCTTTGGTAGTATTCCAGAGGTTGTTAGCTCCAGTGTTGCAACAAATTCCAACTCCTTTCTATCTGATATTTTCTTACCTAAATTCAACCACCTCTGAAGTAAAAAACTGAGTGCAAATTCGTTAATGTTGGAAATACTATGCTGTTTAGGAAAAGGATTAAGGAACAAGTCCTCCATTTAAAACTGAGGGGCTATGTCTACACTGGCATGATTTTGCGCAAGAACTCTTTTGTGGAAGAGTTCTTGTGCAAAAACTCTTCCAAAAGAGAGTGTTTACACTAGTATGTGCCTTTGCGCAAGAGATGTGCTTTTGCTTAAGAGCATCCATGCCAGGGTAGACGTTCTCTTGTGCAAGAAAACTCTGACGGCCATTTTAACCATAGGGCTTTCTTGCGCAATAAATTCATGTTGCATGTCTACACTGGCCTCTTGTGCAAGAGCAGTTGCAAAAGAGGGCTTATTCCTGAGTGGGAGCATCAGAGTTCTTGTGCAAGAAGCACTGATTTCATACATTAAAACGTCAGTGTTCTTGTGCAAAAACTCGCGGCCAGTGTAGACAGGCAGCAAGTTTTGGCGCAAAAGCAGTTGCTTTTGCATAAGATCGCACCAATGTAGACACAGCCAGGGGCTACGTCTACACTGGCCCCTTTTCCGAAAGGGGCATGCTAATTTTAAACTCTTCGTAATAGGGAAATCCGCGGGGGATTTAAATATCCCCCGCGGGATTTAAATAAAGATGTCCGCCGCTTTTTTCCGGCTTGTAGAAAAGCCGGAAAAGAGCGTTTAGACTGGCCCGATCCTCCGGAATAAAGCCCTATTCCGGAGGATCTCTTATTCCTACTTCGAAGTAGGAATAAGAGATCCTCCGGAATAGGGCTTTATTCCGGAGGATCGGGCCAGTCTAGACGCTCTTTTCCGGCTTTTCTACAAGCCGGAAAAAAGCGGCGGACATCTTTATTTAAATCCCGCGGGGGATATTTAAATCCCCCGCGGATTTCCCTATTACGAAGAGTTTAAAATTAGCATGCCCCTTTCGGAAAAGGGGCCAGTGTAGACGTAGCCAGGGAGTTTAGGTAATTTGTGAAATGTAAATTTAGGTGATTATATTCATAATATGTCCTCTAAGCACATAATCTGGTATGTAGTATTCTTAACTGTGTGCAGCAGATTTTTAAATTGTGGTAATTTGTAAGCATGGTTTGTTTTAAATATTAACTTCCAGTTTCTGCATTTGAGAGCATCTTCCTGATAATAAGACAAGTCTTTCCTCAAACACTCAATGCTAAATTATCAATGCTCTGTACCTGCCTAAATTCTTTATACCTGAAATCAGTTTTGTTTAGGTACTCCATTAATTCTGGCATTCAAAAGGTATTTGTTCTGCATTTTGAAATTTAGCAAGTTTGTCATGTTATTTCTGAAGTATCTAACATTCTAGCTGGCTTAGCTTTTCAGGATTAGGTTTGAACCAGTAGTTGTTAGTAATGGTTGACTTCAGCTGATGCAATGAAATCTACTGACCCCTCCACTGCCCCTCCCCCGATCATTACTTACAGACTTTGGAAGTGGATGGAGCCTGTCCCCCTTGCACATGCAGGGACTGGCTGTCACTGGCCGTGCAGCAGTGCAGAAAGGACTTTGAAGCCTCATGACAGTGGTGCTGCAGAAGGCTGGTGACACTTGATGTGGCTCTGGAGAGGCAGAATGGGAAGGGAGCCCCCCCTAGGAAGGTCTATGGGGAGGAGAAAGAGGATGAGCCCCTAGGGAAAGCCACCCTGCTGCTGAATAGCTCTGTCCCCATGCAGCTGGGGACTCATCTTCCTTGCAGCCTGAGCCTAGGGTCTCTGCTCTTTCTTGCCTGCCTTGCACCTGCCCTGCAAAGATCAAGAGCATTGCCCTATCCCCACTCCACCCCCCAAGTTCTGCTTTGATATCCCTCTCTAATATTTTGTTTGTTCTTGGTTTCCCACTAATCTCCATCCTTTTTACCATTCAAGTGCAATATGTTTTACATGTTTACTATGATTTGAAAAAACTTAAACAATGAATAGTCAGGTAGCACCTTAAAGACTAACAAAACATGTGGATGTTATCATGAGATTTCGCGGGCAAAACCCACTTCTTCAGATGACTGGAGTATTAAAAGTCCAGATCCAAGAATAAATAAGGGAAGGGGGGGGGAGGAGGAGGAGGAGGAAGGAGATTTTAAAAAAGGAGAAATTCACTGGGATATAATTGAGGAATTAATATATCCTCTTCTTTAATAAGCATTATTATATTTAATGTGTTTGTGACTTCTCATAACTTGCTTATGCCTATATACTCTGATTATTAATCTGAAATTATAATTAAGTCATTGTACCTGTATAACAACACCTTTTATTCTGGGATTAGAAAAATATTTTACAAGCATTGATTAATCTTCAAACTCACTTGAATGAATTATTTACAAACATTCTGAGCTTTTTCTTACTATATTTGCCACAGTTAAAAAAATTTGCAATTGTGGTTGGTTTGTTTTTGCATTTTATTGAGAACAAAGTAAGGAAATGTGAAAGGTTCTCATAATAACCCACCCGCATGTACTGCATGTTAATTTTTTAAAATAAAAGCATACTCTAATCACACTTAGTTCCGATTAGGGAATTCAGTCTTTCCATTTGAACTATGTGCAGAAGCAATGTTCCTTATTCTTCTTTGCATTAAATAAGCTGTATACCTCTGACAAATAAAGGCACTTTACATTTATGCCTTCCTTAAGATTTCATTACATTGCCAGAGCAATGTAAAGGGCCCTGGTGTAAATGAGAATCAGATGCATAGGATAAAAAGTTTTAAAGAGGAAGTTCTGTTATGTCATGTTTGCCATAATTATTGTACTACCCACAGTAGTTTGGGGCTCAATTTATGCAGCTAACCGTGATCTGGATTAGTGCTTGGGATTGCACTAATGGGAATCGAAAAGTATTAAGTTTCCATGTATGTACTAGTTGTAATAAATTACCTTAAATGAAGAGCACTGCTCTTTTACTTCTGCATGAGCATTGTTAGTGTAGACCTAACAGGTTCTGTTATGCCCATATATGAAACAAGGTAATACTGCATTTTCTAGATGTAAGCCAGTTATTGTAGTGTCCATTCTTTTGCTTCATTATTAAATGATCTAATCAGGTCTGTTTTCAGAAAAAATTTTTTAAAGCTTCATTTAAAGGACAAGAAGCGGTTTGACAAAGCCAATAGAGATGACATTCCTGGTCTGAATCTGAATGAATTTATTGCTTTCGAACATCCCGAAGAAGCTGAGTATATGACGGTAAGACACAGGGAAAATCATTTGAGCTAAAGATCTGCACCTTTTAATGGTTATCTTTAGCCTAATGAACCTTGGAAAACTTGCTTGTGGACAATTACTATTCTTTTCTCTTTAAGAACATAAACATATTATGTGTCACATTTTTAGTCCTCAGTCTTGGGGTTCAGGAGTCTACCCAGTAATGTAGTGGAGATGCTTTAAATTGTCAAACAAGAGCTGGATTTAGATGAGTCTCCCTTTAGGTTGAGAGTAGTGCAGTAGAGTGTTGTGTTTATAATGGAGGAGTCATGTCTATGTCTAGATTTGGAAAAAACATCATCAGAAAGATGTAGATTTTAAAATAGAACCTCTGGCATGAGAGAGGATTAAGTGAAGAAATATTTCAAACTCCAAAAGGATGGAAAGTCACTTTTCTGACCATAGATAAGCCTTCAAGTTTGATGCTAGCTTAGGTAAGAGGGCATAATTGTTGTTGTTTTTTAAATGAGTGGTAGCAAAAACTGTTTCCACTTGCACTGTGATATGCATCTGCCAGGCTGTGAAAAAATTTTACCGTATTTTCCGGCGTATAAGGCGACTGGGAGTATAAGACGACCCCCTAATTTTTTAGTTAAAAGATAGGGTTTCGTTTTATACCCCAGCGCCCCTCCGCCTCCTTTGCTCCTGGTGTCCCTGGTCTGCTGGAGACGGTCCCCAGCAGACCAGAGGCACCGGGAGCAAAGCCGCAGCAGCTTTGCAAAGCCTCGGGGGAAGCCGGCGGCGGGGCATCCCTGGCGCGCCTGGGATGTATACCCGGCGTACAAGACGACCCCCGATTTTTGGGGGATATTTTTAACATCAAAAGTCGTCTTGTACGCCGGAATATACGGTAGTCACTTTTCTAAAGATATGCTTCATCCACTTCAATATAGCTGTCCCAATTTAATCTTATAGGCACAACGAATCTTTAAATTAAGGCCTGCTAGTGTGTACACTCTATGTATTTATTGTGAAATTCAGTTATTTGAATTTGTAAATCAATTTAATGATCAGCTCCACTAACACTAGCAGACTGGAGGTCAACATAGCATCTGGGGTGGCATCAGAGAATCAAAATACAGGTCTGTCCCAACGATTCTAAACATAGATTAACAAGTAGTAAATTAATTTCATTCCGTTGTATTAGCTGGATTTAGTTGACCAGGCCTGAATGAAAATGTGTGAGATTTTCTAAAGCTTCAGGGGGTAGCCGAGTTAGTCTGTACAGGATAAACTTTAAAAACAACAAATCGTCTGTTAGCACTTTAAAGACTAACACAATTTTCTAGTCTGGTAAAACAATTTTAGATTAGAAGTGAGCTCTTAATTTCATGATGACAAATGCATTTAAGTAGCTTATATGTTTGATGCTTTTGTTTAAAAATTACTTAGATAATTTAAGTTAATTTTGATTTACTTTTAAAGAAATCCTGTGAACTTGAAATCTCATCAGTTTCAAACACTTTCAAGTTTCAGCTGCTATACAAGCCTCTGTATCTCCATGCTAACTTCTGTGGTTTCACAACCATTTTTCTGTTTGTTTTTTTTTAAATATTTTCCTTTTCTTTTAGTTCTGTATGAAAGATCTATACAAACAGCAAAACTGGCTTATATGTAATGAAGAGCATTTTGAATAAAGTGAAAAAAAATCCTAATCTTTTGTTACGAGTAATTTTAGGTGGTTATAAAGATAGATGAATCATTTTTACTCATAAGTATGATTAAATGAGTGTTTCTTTTTACAATTCTATAATTTTTAACCTAAATATGCTGAGGATTTTGTTTGATTTTTCTTGCCAAGAAATTGACAAGAAATAGCTTCTTTCCTTTAATACTGTGGTCCCCAACCCGGTGCCCGCGGGCGCCATGGCGCCCGCGGGCACCGGGTTGGGGACCACAGTATTAAAGGAAAGAAGCTATTTCTTGTCAATTTCTTGGCAAGAAAAATCAAACAAAATCCTCAGCATATTTAGGTTAAAAATTATAGAATTGTAAAAAGAAACACTCATTTAATCATACTTATGAGTAAAAATGATTCATCTATCTTTATAACCACCTAAAATTACTCGTAACAAAAGATTAGGATTTTTTTTCACTTTATTCAAAATGCTCTTCATTACATATAAGCCAGTTTTGCTGTTTGTATAGATCTTTCATACAGAACTAAAAGAAAAGGAAAATATTTAAAAAAAAACAAACAGAAAAATGGTTGTGAAACCACAGAAGTTAGCATGGAGATACAGAGGCTTGTATAGCAGCTGAAACTTGAAAGTGTTTGAAACTGATGAGATTTCAAGTTCACAGGATTTCTTTAAAAGTAAATCAAAATTAACTTAAATTATCTAAGTAATTTTTAAACAAAAGCATCAAACATATAAGCTACTTAAATGCATTTGTCATCATGAAATTAAGAGCTCACTTCTAATCTAAAATTGTTTTACCAGACTAGAAAATTGTGTTAGTCTTTAAAGTGCTAACAGACGATTTGTTGTTTTTAAAGTTTATCCTGTACAGACTAACTCGGCTACCCCCTGAAGCTTTAGAAAATCTCACACATTTTCATTCAGGCCTGGTCAACTAAATCCAGCTAATACAACGGAATGAAATTAATTTACTACTTGTTAATCTATGTTTAGAATCGTTGGGACAGACCTGTATTTTGATTCTCTGATGCCACCCCAGATGCTATGTTGACCTCCAGTCTGCTAGTGTTAGTGGAGCTGATCATTAAATTGATTTACAAATTCAAATAACTGAATTTCACAATAAATACATAGAGTGTACACACTAGCAGGCCTTAATTTAAAGATTCGTTGTGCCTATAAGATTAAATTGGGACAGCTATATTGAAGTGGATGAAGCATATCTTTAGAAAAGTGACTACCGTATATTCCGGCGTACAAGACGACTTTTGATGTTAAAAATATCCCCCAAAAATCGGGGAACCTGTAATGTTTAGTGCTTTGCTCCTGTAGAGCCACCAGAGGGAGCTCAGAAAGCAAAATCAGTTTGTATGACATGACTGATACTGGTGAACAAACAAGGCATGGCAAAACTAGACAAGCAGGCCTGTTAATGGGGGAAACCTTTTTTATTATCAAAAGATATTTACTGAATTGAAAGCAATAGAGAAAAGTGATTCATTTTCAAATAGGTGACAGTATCTCTCTTAAATTTATATTTCATATAAATATTTGTATTGTCTTGAATTCAGTTCCAGGATTTCAAATCCAATGTCCCCTTTAGTTTTGATTTCAGTATAATGTGAGTGCATTAAATGTCAAATAACATGCAGTCTGGACTTATTTCCTCCAGGACTGGGACTTGTCGCTGTTTTAATTGTACAGTATTCTGCACAGAGAAATTTGTCAGAAACCAATAAGTGATTAGAATATGGGATACATTCTTTTAGTTCTATAGAATGTTATATTGCTGTTTTTCTTAATGTTAACATTTTAATAACTAATGTTTCTTTCACATATACATATGCACACAAAAGGAATTCGTTATTCAGGAGGCTTTAGAAGAACATGATAAAAACAGTGATGGATTTGTGAGTCTGGAAGAGTTCCTTGGTGACTACCGAAGAGATCCAAGTAAGTAAAAGGGGGGGGGAGGGAGATAAACAGAAGCTTCTTTGTACTGTCTCTGGGTAGGTGCTGGTTTGTTTTTTAAACTTCTAACGAGAGAATCACCTTAAGGCTCTGGGCACAGTTGACACTTATTTAAAAAACACAGTGCAAACAACTTAAGTCTTATCAAGAATACACCATCTTAGCTTCTTTTCCTCTCATTTTTATATGCATTTTGTAGCGGTTAGTATACTGTCTGTTTCCCGGTAATAGCCATTTTCTCTTGCCATTGTTGCAGACATTGTAGTAAAACTAGGCTGCAGCATTATTAATGGAACATATTGGGGAGTTTGTCCAACAGTAACTGAAGGTCAACCTTCCTTCCATAACTGGTACCACCGGAAGAGGGCTGCCACAATGTTCCACTGCTGCAGGGACTTCTTTACAAGCTTTAATGGTGTAGGGAAAAGAGTGTATCCTCACTTTTCCAGATATTAGACTTCTCATCTGCTTTCTCCAGTTGATGCCCTCCCCTAATCCATTTTGGTTTATTGGTAAGCCAAACTTACATTTAATATGTACCTGAACTGGCCATCTGCCAAGATGAAACAATATGAACATTTTACCCACCAGATTTCAGAACTGCTATGAGGAAAATGGGGAAAACCCCATGCCAATCTGGCTGTGAGGGAAATTCCTTCCCATCCTTTATAAGACAACTAGCATGATGCTTACAGTGAAGTCCAGAAACACCAGACCTATTCTAATCCCACTGGGGTGGGGAAGGTGAGAAATGTTGTTCTTAGGTAAAAAGCAGCACCTGCAGGGGAGAAACAGCTTCTGCTATTTAGGTGTAGTGACTAGTGAATCCAGTCAGTCAGCTAGGAATATCCTTCTCCCTCACCTTTCTCTTGCTTACAGTCCTTTCCCAAGCCTTTGAGGAAAGAGGAGGGGAGTGTTTGGAATCCTTAAAAAGGGCTTCATTTTCTTGCTGTCCCAGGCGCAGCCTCCCCATTTCTGAAGCTGTTAGGCGAGGGAAGCATTTCTGATGCTTCTGCTCTGCATCAGGGAGGAGAAAAACAATTAAAAAGTGGTTACAAACCCACAGATTATGAGGGGTGACTCAGCAGCAGCTATTGGCACCGGGAATTACTTTGACCTTGTTTTTTAAAACTGGCTAGTTTTCAAGCAAAACTTGAAAACTGCCAAAATGATTGATGACAACTATGTAGGCAAACGTTGATCATTTCAGAATTATACCCTGCCCCATATGAAGAGTCCATTTGTGCAGCATCAAGTTGTGATGCAAGTTTGACTTCAACAGCAGAGGCTGCTGAACTCAAACAAGAGCTTGCTTGCATACAGGCATCCTTTTTAATGAGGAACAAGAAAAGAAACCTCACCCATGCCTTATGTACAGTGGAAACATATCTATTTCTGATTTGATTTTTTTCCGTCTTCTGTATGTAAACTACTTTTGATTATTTTCATAAGGTTCAGGATGCCTTGATCTGTCAGCTAATGCTTCAATTTTAACTTTTATTACCAGGGAAAAATTGTCTGACAAATGCTTGCTTTTTTTAATAAATGTATTGAAGAGGCAGAGAAATGTGTAAAGTAACTGACACTCTCTAAATTGCCAAATACTCAAAGTAAAACACTTTTCTCCTGTTTAAGTTAGATTAATTTAAGCAATATTACAATTTTAAATAAAACACTTGTCTCAGTGTGATGATTGGGTGAATTATATCCTTTGTTACATTCCTTGACTCATAAGTTTGCAATCTGGCTTAATGTTCCATTAATGTAAGTTTCTGGTTTTAAGTCTGTTTACAGCTGCCAGAAACCTGAGAAGTTTTGTTGGTTTAATTCAATGAGAATGATGTGTAATGCTTTCTTTAGTGAAATTTATTTTTGAAGTTGACATTATCTAAAACCTAATCAATTTTTGCATTAGAAAAGTGGTGAAAACAACAGTCTCAAAGATACTAAATGGTCTTACATTTAAAAAATACTTTTTATTTAGCTGCAAATGAAGATCCAGAATGGATACTTGTCGAGAAGGATCGATTTATGAATGATTATGACAAAGATAATGATGGAAAACTCAACCCTCAAGAATTGCTGACTTGGGTAGTACCTAATAATCAGGGTATTGCACAAGAGGAGGTGAGGTTTTTTTAGACTTAATGCAACTTCTTGAAAATATTGCAGTACTGTGCAAAATGACCAAATATACGCTGAGTTAATTTAGTCTATTATACAAAAAACCAGTAGATTTTATATCTTAGTAATTGAAGAGTATTACCTAATAATGCTTTTCATAGAGTTATAGTGCTGCAGATGGAGTACCTGTGAATAGCGCCCTGCAAATCGTGGATATCTGCTTTATATCCGTGGGTATCGGATGCTCATTTTTGCACATACAGATGCATATGCAGATACAAATTTTGTATCTGTGACAGGGCTTTATCTATGAACTATATAAATGCTAGTAAGAGTATAAAATTAATACAGTAGTATTCCTAAAAAATACATACTAAATCTGACTTTAAGGAAGATAATTTTTTTCAGAATAATAGATGGGTAATATGGTGTCCACTAGTGACATGTGGCTATTTGGCTGGTTGCGTGTGGCTAGTTGGCTTGAACAATATGGGTATTTGGCCAGTTGAGTGTGGTTAGTTTGCTTCAGAACTGGTACGACACAACGGATCCAGCAGGATAAGTAGCTAGTATTTGTGTCTTGGGTAATAGAAACCTATGTACATACAAAACAGAATCTCAATATATCATAATCCGTGGCCCATAATACAAATTTAAAATTACTCCTGATTCAGCTGATTTATTAATGTTATATGGAATTTAAATAGGTTCTTCTTCTAGATGCTTTTCCTTCCTCTTACGTGTGTGGGTTTTTTTGTTTTTTGTTTCCCTCCCCCCCTCTGCATACAACTGAAGCATTTGGTGTCCCAAAATCAAAAGGTTTGTTTTGGTACATGGTTCTCACTGTTGCTGAATACTGTGACTATGAAGAAAGCCACTGTCACTATTCCTTTTCTCTCTAAGTTCAGTTATCCAAATGGTCCTTCTTCTGACACATCCGACCATATGACATTTCAGATTGAAAGAAAAAAAGGATTTCTCCCTCACATTTAGATCGTCACTTTTGTTGTTGCCTTAGAGGCAGACAGGACATTTGGTATCAGAAAGCCTACTGCATTCTTGGAGTTGGAGAGCATGGTTACTGAAGTCACCTTTTAACATCTTTGTTGTATTGTCACCAGGAAAAATAACTTGGTCAGGAGCCCAGTATTGGCTCTCAAAGTATCATTTTGGTTTTTTTTAAAATGTTTGTTTGGTTTTGTTTAATTTGCAAAATGGTTGAAATAACATTTCTGCAAAGATGCAAGTCTAATCA